GATATCTTTTGTCAAAATTGAAATGTTTTGAAATTCAATCAGGTTTAGATAATATTAGAACTCAACTCAGGATTGATCAATTCTAAAATCTTTGATATCTTTTGTCAAAATTCTAATATTTTGAAATTCAATGAGGTTTAGATAATATTACAACTCAACTGAAGATTGATCAATTCTAAAATCTTTGATATCTTTTGTCAAAATTCAAATGTTTTGAAATTGGATAATATTGATGGCGGGGTCGAATTGACATATCATGTCAGAGCTCGAATTTCTTGTGATATTTTTGACTAATGGGTTCTCTTTTCAGCTGTCATGTTTGTGTGGTATATGAATGAAAGATATATGCATCTGGTGTTTGATTAGTTGTTTTTTGGTTTAGTAGATCATACTTGTGTTGGACTAAAAGAAGATTAGAAGCACAATTAGTTTTGAATGTCTTCGATAGGGTTTGTTTGTGGTTTTTGTGTCAGGTGGGATTGGGACATGTGTTGTTTTTGGATCATTTGTAGTGTGAGTTGGGAAAGAGAATTGATTGGGTAGGGGATTATGGTATTGACGGAGTCGTGGAAATATAAGTTTTGATGATTGCTGGTGATTTTAATATAGTGATATTTATTGATTCGTGGTGAGGTTAAAATTTCTAATGATTTGCTGGTTGGTCGCATGGTTTTAGTACTTGTGGAAAAGTTGCGAAAGAATGAAAGTCTTACATGGCGGTATGAGAGATCGAATATTGTTTTATATTAGAATGGGAGTTGGAGGCTGAACTGAACTTTTAGTGGTTTGGTTGGGGGAATAATATTAGTTTTCCTCGAAGGTGAGAATATGAGGATTGGTGAATTTAGTCTATAGATTTGTTTTATATATAGAGATATCGTCTTAATTTTGCGTAAATGTTTTTTTTTTTTTTTTTTTTTTTTTTATTAAGCTTATTGAAAAAAATTTAATGCCCGAAGGCCTTTTAAGACATCGTCCATAAGTTACAATGTTACTATTAGAAGGTATATAGAGAGAGACAAGGAGAAGGACTAGAAGAAACACAGAGAAGAAGGCAGGGTGAGAAAAAAAAAAAAAAAACGACAAAAGAAAATGAAACCTAAAGAGAAAAAACACAGATCAAGATCAAGAGAGAGGAGTATGACTACAACCAATAGTATAGAGAAATAAAAACATGAAGACAAAAGAAAAACAAAAAGGAAGAGCAGCACAAGAAAAACAAAGGCAATGTACGCGAAAGGGACAGGAAGAAGCCTTAGTTCCTATAGGAATGTCTGCGGAAATTCAGAGAATACCTCCAGGTCATCCTTCGGGATAAAAGGAATAGAATCAGTAGTGGTATTTTCTAACCACCTTAAACAATACTCAACGCTCGGAACGAATGGTACCAATCGTTTAGACCGATACACGAATCTCACTACATATTCCTTGTCGAGCCATTGGTTTCTGAACGAGTTTAATACTTGATGCTCAAACCACATAGATCCATCTATTGAGTTGTTCAGATGGATAAGATACTTCTTCCAGTACTTTGCACATAGATTATCTAAGGATTTTTCGTCATAAATGGACGCAAAAAGGAAGTCGTTCCACCTAGGAACTCCGAGAATTCGCTTCAAACAAGTGTAGTAAAAGTGGTTAAGATCAATCTTCTGATAATCAGTGAATAAGGGAAATATACCAAACAACCACGTGAATAGTGGCAGGATATAGGTAGAGAACAGGATCCTGCGAAATTCTTGCGAAGAAGAACCGTACATATGACATGACTTCACTATGGCTACTCTTTGTCTAATTTTACTTTTGTACAAGGAAATCATCTTGTTCCAGCCAAGTTTGCACGATATGTGGTAACCGAGATATCTAAAACTCTTGACCCATGCTAATTTATGATCTCCCATTGCGATCTCAAAACTAGGCCTACCAACAGCGCGTGCTGACCAAAGTAGTTCGGTTTTTTCATAATTTATCGGTTGTACCGATAAGGCGGCATAATACTCAAGGTAGTCAAACAATTTCTTGAGTTTCGACTCTAGGTCGAGACACTGCTGTGAGTACTTGGTTCCCATCATACCTCCCAGCACACATGCTAAGTCGTCTGCAAAAAAGTTAGGCAGAGAGCTTTCCAGGAAGGTCCACATATCACTGTGGTACGTAATAAAGATAGCGGGGGTCAAGCATGAACCTTGAGGTCCTCCTTTGGAGATCGGGAAGAGCCTTGAACGTTTCTCTTTCATTTCAATAAAACCCGATCTGTCCTTTAACCAGCAATCAATCCACATCACGTATGCTTTTGGTATTCCCAGACGAGTTAGTTTGCCTAGGCATCCAGTCCACCAGAGCTGGTCGAAGGCCTGTTTGAAATCTACGAAGACGGTGGCTACGGGTGTGCTTGTACTCATTAAGGAAGAGATTTGATCGATCAGATTGAGGACACGCGTCTGTAACCTAAAATTTGATCTAAAACCTGATTGTGAGTCGTTCAGGATACCTCTATTTTTAAGTACGTGCTGAAATCGAATAAGAAACAACCGTTCGAGAATCTTTAGGAAAATATCCAATAGAGAAATCGGTCTAGTGTCTTTCACATAGCAAATCGATTCCTTTTTGGGTAGCAACTTCATCTTAACGTGTTTCCAATAGGATGGTGTCGTGTATGTGGTAAGTGACTCATTATATAACTCCAGTAGTGCTCTCAGGTATGTATTAGGAATAAATTGGAGCATATAAGCTGATATGCCATGTGCATCAGTGGAATGTTTTTTCTTCACCTTAGATATAACTTTTATGAGTTCGGGCATAGAAACGGGGGGGATCGGGTCCTCATAGTTATCCCAGTGTAGCTCCGGACTATCTGTGTAGGGGTGTGGGCGATATACCTGAGCTTCACAGAAGAGCGTTTCGTAGTGAGAAGCAGCTAGTTCGAGCATACCGTCAACATCTTTGACGGGCTCATTGTTTTCGTCTATAAAAGCATTGAGCGAGTTAGTCATTTTAAAGTTTTTCCTCAGTTTGGACCAAAATAAATTTGAACTAGGCGATGAGGTAAATCTTTCCTTTAGTGCATTTGTTAGTTTTCCTGAACGGAATGCAATCAACTCTTTCCTATTTATTCTTCTCATTTCTTTGATTTTTTGGTGCAATAGAACATCTCCCGTTCTTTTATGTTGAAATGATAAGGCACGTACATAGGATAATTTCATTCTCAGTTCCTTTGGAATCGCAGTGCGGTACTTATTTATCGGAAAAAAGCTTGTACATCGAGTTTTTAGGCAATCCAGCAGAGTGACAAAGTTCATATAATACTCATTGGTCGAGCAGAGCTTACTTTCATGCTCCCAGAATTCAGAAGTCAGTGCGAGAAAATAGTGAAAGACTTTCCAGTGTGTATTACTACCTAATTCGTTTTTCTTGCTTTCACAATTTAGTACTCCCAGGATCGGTTTATGATCACTGGTAGTGTTATCAACACAAGTTTGAATCGTAAGCGGGATATTACGTGTGAATCCATAGTCAATAATCCGCTCGGATCGAAGAGATGTGGGGGAGTCGGGCACCACTGGAGCAAGTGCTAGTGCGCCAGACCAATCCAGTAAACTTCTAGCAGATCTCTCATCAGCCTTACTCTCTAGATCGATGTTAAAATCTCCGAATATGCAACATTCGTCGGTGATGTACCGAGAAAGGTGGTCCCATTCCCAAGTTTTACTCTTCGGAGCATAAATACCGATTATACGTAATGTTCTTTCAAGTTTAACTTCCACAACACATACATTAGGAATATCGGATTTTATATGTACTATTGGTATACCCAGTCTAAACAACATCAGAACGCCTCCCCACGAATTTTCTCCTTTTTGGTAGAAAAACTTAAAATTGACGAAAATCTGCTTTATTCGTGTTTGTTCTATTGCTCCTATTTCGGTTAAGATAATGCAGTCCACTTGGTATTTCTCAGCTAATAATAAGACTTCTTCCCACCTTTCTTCCAGACCTCTTACATTGAAAGAAAGAACCTGAAATTGAGGAGATAGCGAATAAGTACAAACATTACTAAAGGTTTTCCAGTGAGAACAACAAACAGAGAGAGTAGGTAGAGAAAACCACTCCTTAACAATATCAGATAATAAACTAAAGTCAAAAGCAGATAGGTATTGAGAAGAACAAGAAAGTGCATATTCAACATTGAAGCTTTTCTTTTTCACTGTTGTTGGGGTAAATACTTCAGCAAAAGGGGACAGATTGTAAGAAGTTATTGTTGTTGTTGGAGTTGTTGATTGGAGAGTGGTCGATGTGAATTGTTGTTGGTGAAACCAACCGACGGATGTTGATTGTTCGGGTTAAACTCGTTGATGAGTTTTAGTTTTGTATCTTCGTTTTGTAAGTATTTATTTGTCCACACCGGAAGATCATTAGCTAACTTAGCACATAGTGCTAATAACGAAGGACAAAGTAAGGTTTTGTCATTCAAAACATTTTGTTTGACTAAAACCGGGATCACTTCCACCATTACTTGACAAATTGGAGAGATAAATTGACTTACAAAATCACGTTGAAATACACCGTCGATTTGCTGCAATTGTATATCACGATTATGATTCATAATTATTTGTTGTGTACGAGTAAGTTGATCAGCATAGTTGTTATTTAAATCTAATAGACGATTCAAATTCACTTCTAAATTGTTCAACTTGTGGTGAAGTTCATCAATTCGATTACTTGGATTATTTGATACATTGTTCATCTTATAATTCTTGTTGTTGCAATTCATATTTAATAATGGATAATCTTGTTCTTTATAATGGAATTTTGTTTGATTATTTTGTTGTTTGTTCATCATGTTTGTTTGAGCTGATAGAGATTTTGTGAGTGCGGCCCTGTATGTTTTGACATCAGGGCAACGTATATCATTTGAATCATGTGGACCTTTACATCTAATACAACAGTGTTTTTTTTCACATAATTCTTTATGCAGCTTTAGATCTTTACTACTAAATCCGCATATTTTACAAAATTCTAAGGTGCTTTTACAGGTACTTCTGAAATGTCCAATCTGGTAGCATTTGCTACATATCAACACCTTAGGTGGTGCCAAATATTCCATCACTCCAAGTCTTAAATTATCAATAAAAATAAATTTCTTACCAACTAATTCATCTATAACGTTCATATTGTTGATATCAAGTCGAACTAATGTGGTAGGTTGTTGATTTTTATTGAGAATTCGATGAGCATTAATTACATTCGGGTAAATAGATTTAATATTTGTTGATAATGTATCAATTTCTGTATCAAATGGAACATTTTTAAGAACTAATGAAAATTGAGGTGGTAGATGACTAGGTAAAACTTTTTCATAATTGAGTGAATCGATAGTCAACGGCCATTTTGATACATCATAAAGCATAGAAAACGATTCACGATCATTAACAAATAATAATAGATCACGTTTAAATTTTAATCGATGACCAGCGAAATTCAATTTGAAATTATAGTTGTGAGAATAATGAGATATTAAATATTTTAATATTGAATTTTCATTAATGTCTTGTTGGAATTTGATGATGAATGGCGGAAAGGCGTAACGCGTTTCCGCGTACTGTCGAGCTTGATGTGATATTTCAATACTAACTGTATTAATAGTTGAAACAGGTGCATTAACTTCACGTGAATTTGGTTGTAAATGAACAGCAGTAGCACTTGTCGGTTGAACATAACTAATAATGCTGTTGGTGTTTGTTGAAGAAGTGGATCCATTTGTTGAAATTGTTGGTGATGTAGAACATGATGAAGATGAAGATGAAGATTGTTGGTTTTGTGTAAGATCAATTTTTTTCTTTTTCTTATTCCGTTTAACTATTATAAAACCATTATCATTTTCACTTTCCATTGGTGTAACATTTTGATTATTTTGATGTTGTTGATGATTCACTTGAGACTGATTCATATTACTTGTCGAATGGTGAGGATCAATAGATGTCGCTGTACCTTGATGATATGAGTGAAAATTCGATGGTGCATGATGATGGCAGTTGGTGGTATAACATGGATGGTTGAACATTGGACCATGAGTGGTGGTGTTATTATTGATATATGATGAACTAGATTGATCTGTACTAACAGTATCAGTACTAGGAACAGGAAGACAATGTGATAATAACAGTGGTTGTTTGGTGCAAGAAGTCGAATGTGTAGTGTATGAACTAACTGAACCTTGATTTGGAACAGTATTGTTGTTGATGTGTTGTTGAGATGTCGAATGGTCGACAGAATGGGATAAACCTACATTCAGCATGCTATCAAGCATGCCAGTAAGGCCGTGGATAATTTTAAATTGCCAACCAAATATAAAAAATAATATAATATATATTAGGTTGATCGATGAATCACGTGATAATAATAAAAAAAATATGTATGTTTTTATATATATGTATACGATAGATACGAGAAGATAGAGAACACGTCCTATCCGTAGATGTATAGCGCGAGGAATGATTTTGCGTAAATGTTGGTTGGGTATATGGGTTGTTGAAATCGTATTTCCAATTGTTTGGTTTAGTGAAAAATATTTTATAATAGGCACGTTCTGCTGCGTTACAAATAAGAGTACGATTTGTTTAGGAATGTATTGAGGATTAAATGTAGTAGTATGTTCTGAAAAATGAATCTTGCTTGGGAATCTTGGGTCGTTTTGGTCGAAGGGTGTGTATGTTTTGTGTGAATTATACGATAAAGGAGGGAAATATTTCAGGATTATGGAGGGAAAATAGGTTTGCGATGAGTGTAAAATCGACAAATTTTATAAAATTTTTTATCAGTATATGTTATTAAACGATATCGAATAGTAGTTGGATTGATATTGAAAGGAATGAACATGTTTTTGTATCTTAGAGATCATTGTAAACGATTATGAATGGTTTCTTGTTTTTATGTTTTACGATATGCTTTCTCTCTCTCTATTATGATTTATATGGGATATTTTTCAAAAAGTTAGATTACGTCTGTTTTGCTGATGTTTATGCTGAATAATTGCTTTTCTGTTATAGTATGATCCTCATAGTTGACATAATTTTTGAACCATCGATAGCAATTGACAATGGTGACTGGTATTTTGTCGAAGAATAGTATTCCAAGTACACGTTTAAAATTAAGATTAGTCTCGAAATGTCTATTAATATTTTTACAAATCATTATATTCTTCTGTAGCTTTGGGATATAATATCATGAGAAATAGTTTTCGTTTTGTTGGAGTTCATTTTTTCTGTTGGATTATATATTTACTTTTCTTTTTCTAGTAGAGTTCGTAAAATCTAAACAGATTTGTTCGAATGTGTTTAGACATTGATGATGTGCATACAATATGATCTCGGCTCGGAGGAAATGATTAATTCTTTCAACTTTGCCTACTGTATATACTATTTATAGTTCGTGTCATATTGAATAATATTAATTTATCACCGATCTTGTTGTGTAGAAAAAAAGAACAAAGACTCTTTATATATAGGAGATTCTACACTTCAATGGATGATCAATAATAAGTTTTTAATAGTTTTATATTATATACATGGATTTATTTCTTATTTTCAACAGTAAGAGATTCATTTACTGCGGCTCGATAAATCTCTACTAATGTTCATTTCAGAGAAAAGTGGCTGTGGGCACTTTTTGAATAACTTTCTATAGGAATGAAATAGAGGCCCGTGGTTTTCACTGTTGAAAAGAAGAGATAAAGACGCATCGAATTATATATAGAAAGATTTTTCTAATAACTTTCTTAAAGGTTTTACATAAAACATCAAGCAAAACAGCATGTCTCTTATCGTCATGATATTAATTTATTACTTTTCAGGAGTGCGCTAGAACCGCCAAACAAAGCGCTAAAAAACCATATCAAGATTCTATTCCTAACGGCTACCAGTAAGATATCCAAACCATGGAAGACATAATTTCCCACCTCGGTTTTTCAACAAAATAAGCGAAAAATGTAAGTTTTTACAGTATTTTGATAGAAAAATCTCTCTTTTAACGTAGCAGAAAAAAGCAATTCTTTGGAAATGCTTGACTAAAACCTTTAGAAAAGTAGTTAGAAAAATCTTTCTATATATGGTTCGATGCGTCCTCATCTCCTCTTTCCAATGGTGAAAACCACAGGTATCTATCTCGTGCTTATGAAAAGTTATTCGAAAAGTGCCCACGGCCACTTGTCTCTGAAATAGACTTTAGTGGATCAATATGTACCAACATATTGATCGATGCTTTTTATTTCCAAATAAATATCAAAGACCGTTAAGTTTCTTTCAATTATTGAATGTTTTAAAGAAAAGATTTGAAAGTAAGTAACTCGCTGATTTCCTATGAAAAACTTTCCATTGTTGACAATAAAGCAATTTATAAATTTGACACAAGCAAATAATTCTTTAGATTTTTCAAGGCTCTAAACGACTAAAAAAAATAGGGTTTAATGCGTCCAAACTGTAAATCATAATACTAAAAATTCGTGATTGAATAAAAAAAAAGTTCTATATTAATAATATAACATTAAAAAATGACACATTATAATATTCGAATATGGATTATCGTTTATCTCAATTGATAAAATTAATTTGTTTTTTTCTAATTTCTAACTTACAACTGGTGTTTAAAGATAGAGGTGAAATAATAAAACATTTGTTTTCGATGACTTAAAATGTTTTATAGTAATATTTAACATTTTAATTATGTTCTCAAAAACATTCATCTATTATAAAAGATTGAAAACATGACAAAATAAATAATTTTTTCAAAGAATAAAATTTTTCTAATTGAAGATGAAACATTTTCATTTTGTTAGGTTATTTGAAATGACGTTAAAATGTTACAATGGTTTTCAAATTTTCGGTGTAAAATAAGAGATAATTAGTTTTTGAATTATTTCTTAAACTCTTTGAGAAAAATTTAAGGCGTTGCCATATTTTCTTATAACTTGATACAAAAATAATTTGTCAGTGCAATCTACTCTATGAATGGCAAACGTTTGCAAATCACAGGCACGGATTATTAGAAACCTTGTCATAATAGTGAAAATAATTCACTTTAACCCTGAAATGTTCATCTAGAATTCGAACAGACCTAAACTACTTTTATTTTAATGCTATATGCATATATCATCATATTAGATCAAGTCTTTCTAGATATGCTCTGGTGAAGATTAGTAAGATATGCTGCTGATGACAGCCGTTCATTAGCTTTGATCGATGACGCAAAATCTACATCGGAATGCAAAAGAACGATCGTTGAACACATGGGGGTTCATGTGGACGTCAGAAAAATTCTTTCTAATACTTTTGCTATTTTAATTTTAGGCAAGATCTTGTTTTTCCAACTATACTTTAAGGACATCCAGTAAAATACGCCAATAACAGCCATTAACCTCACTGATGTTGTAAACAAGAACAGCAATAGTTTTTGAAAATGAAAAGTTTTCAAACTATGTTGTATTTTATCACAAATTTCAGTTCTAATAAAGAAAGAAATCATGCTTAAATGAAAGAAGCATTGGAGTTAAATTTTCACCTTGTTAACATGGGATTTTTAGTGGAGTGCCATGTGCGTAGAAAAGTTTCGTTTCTAACAGATTGTCTTTTTACAAAGCAATCGTCCAGTGGTGTTGTCAGAAAAAAGTCGCACTCGGGGTGAAGGAGGTCTCAGTCCTCTGACCACGTCCCTACAAACTGATGGAAATCGGTGGAGACCCAATCCTTGAAACTTTGCCGAGAATAGTCGTAAGAAATTTTTATCTGAGACATTGTGTGTTGAAATTAGCAATATATATTATTAAGTGTTTCCTGTACGTATTTTTCTATACATAGAATACAATTCAAATTATATTATCATATGTAGAAAACATTAAAAAAGTTAAGAGATTCACATTAAAATGAACGACAGAAGAATTAAATGAGGAGAATGGAAATGCACAGAAAACTTCTGATTTGATTAAGATTAAAAGACATTTTCATTTTTTTGACTAGATTACTGTTATTTCTTCGCTATTTATAATGAAAGAAAGATTTTTCATTCAGAAGCTTTTTACACGTTTGAAGAAACTTCATTTTATCTTCTTTTTGTTGCAGAAGAAAAATATTTCCATATGAATTAAAAAATCGTTTCTCAGCACTTTTGGCTCCGAAAGCATTCACGTTAGTGACGATTGTGATATAAATTATGTTTCTCATCTAACCCCAATAAATTGAAATTTACTTAAAATAAACAAAGCGTTGAATATCGCTTATGCCCATACAAATGGAATTTTTTTCAACGCGCCAATTTTTATGCCTTGATGATAAATTTCATTAATCTCTTATCATCTCAATGGGAAAATCGAAACTGTCATTAGATGCCAACTATGAAACTTTTTAAAAACATTTGCCTGCGAAACCGATCATGTTCACGACAATTATCAAATAAATGAAGCCCTTCATACTTGAAGACTTCGTAGCCTGTCTTTGAAAGTAAACATCAGAGAATTTTTCAACCAACTATGATTTTTTTTCTTGACACGATATTAAAAGAAAATATAATTTATCTCGGTATTTTTATTAAAAAAGTTTGCAAATTTCCAGGATTTATTTGCTTTTCTGCTTTTTCGACTAATAGCAATAAAAGCTTTCCATTATTGAGGTTATCACACTTCGGACATCCTTCAATTGACTCACTATTAATGAACATTCTACTAACACTTCGAGAACAGACTTAAGCACCATTCAAACCAGAATTTGACCTTTTGTAGAATGGGGAGAAGGCCAGAGAGAAACATTGTATGTAGACTAAATTTTTCTCGTCTGCTATTGGTTATGCCACTAGTAATTAAATTGAGAATTCTTTTGTCTATGTATTTTTAAAGATATAAGGTCTTCTCTGATTTTACACTAACCATTGCGTTCTGATTGTTTTTAGTAATTAGTGCCAAAAAATAAAAAACACCGCTGTACTATCTTCTTATATCTGATCAGAAGGGCGATAAATACACAACACTTCATTCTTCAAATGATTTGTATTCTGATTAATAAAAATCAAAAATAAGTATCTTCGTAGATGAGAAATTTGGCAAATAGTGCCTCATCTAGCTCCCATGTAGATACACCACTGCAACCACCATTAAACTAAAAAAAAAAGTTTCTTAGAATACCTGCGAACGTCTCGCATGTAAGACATACTCTCACATATCTATTTGTTCTTTTTTCGGCTGATGGTCTCTTTCAGAACTATTATAGTTTCATTATATCAAATAGTAACAATATAGTACATATTTTTTTCTCATTAGACTAAACT